GGAAGTTGGTTCACTTTGATGGTCCAATGGCGTTTACTGCAGATGATCTTCTCTGTGCAACAGCTGAGATTATGGGAAAAAGCACTTATGGAACAGTTTATAAAGCTACACTTGAAGATGGAAGTCAAGTTGCAGTGAAGAGATTGAGAGAAAAGATCACCAAAAGCCAGAAAGAGTTTGAGAATGAGATTAATGTATTGGGAAGAATCCGGCATCCAAATCTGCTTGCCCTTAGGGCTTATTACTTAGGTCCCAAGGGAGAGAAGCTTGTCGTCTTCGATTACATGTCTAGAGGGAGTCTTGCCACATTCCTCCATGGTAAGTGCCTCAAAGTTTGATACTTCACTCAAATTTGTGGTGATTGAAACTTTATTTTAACTTTCGTTTTCATGTTTCGAAATTGCAGCAAGAGGACCAGAAGTTCATATCAATTGGCCTACAAGGATGAGCTTGATAAAGGGAATGGCTCGTGGCTTGTTCTACCTTCATACGCACGCAAATCTCATCCATGGAAACCTAACATCAAGCAATGTACTTTTGGATGAGAACATTACCGCGAAGATCTCGGATTACGGTCTTTCAAGGCTAATGACAGCAGCAGCAGGATCAAGCGTGATTGCAACAGCTGGTGCGTTAGGTTACAGAGCACCTGAGCTCTCTAAGCTGAAGAAAGCCAACACGAAAACCGATGTGTATAGCCTCGGTGTGATCATATTAGAGCTATTGACTGGGAAATCTCCGAGCGAGGCCTTAAACGGTGTGGATTTGCCTCAGTGGGTTGCTACCGCGGTTAAAGAAGAGTGGACTAATGAGGTTTTCGATTTGGAGCTACTGAATGATGTGAACACAATGGGTGATGAGATTTTGAATACATTGAAATTGGCTTTGCATTGTGTTGATCCTACACCATCAACAAGACCTGAAGCTCAACAAGTTATGACACAACTTGGAGAGATTAGACCCGAAGAGACGATAGCATCAACTTCTGAACCTTTGATTGATGTTCCTGAACCTTCTGCTTCTACAAGTCAATAGAAGATAGATTTGAGATTTTTGTTAGCTTGAGAGTGTTGTAGAGTAGAAGTAGAGTTCTTTTTGTAATTCTTTGATTCTTCAAGTAGTTTTTTTTTCCTTCTTCTTTCATTTCAAGTGTTTCTTACCAATTTCATATTGTGTTTGTAAATACTGTAAACTGGTTTTATGGTTCTCTTTTCATCAAGCAGAAGTCTGTGTCTTTGGAGCATGAATGAACAAATTAAAGTAGAGACAGAATGTGAAATTTGGGTTTGGTGAGATTCACCATCTAGAGTAAAGTTGTAATTAAGTTTCAAATTGACACTCAATATACTGAAAACGAGAGAAGAGTGGAACATGTACCAAATTCCAATATTGTATGTACTTCTATAACTATGAAATGCTGCCAAATATTCAAAGTTGGCAGAAAAGCTTAATCATAACTTAGGAAGCACAATGTGACAAGATTCAACAATTCGCATTTGGCCCTAATAGTGATTGGAACATGTATAGTGTGATTTATTATTGATTTTGTAACAAGCAATCAAAATGTTAAGGTTTTCAATTATCTTTTCATTCCAAAACAATTTATAAATTTTGTATTTTATCAATGATAATAAACAGAATAATTAATAAATATTTTCCAAAATCTACTTATTGTTGATAATGAACATGTATAGTGATTTACGTCAATCTATATAT